AATTGAACCCAAGACTCTTTGGTGCCTGGGACTCACATTCCAACCAGTGAGCAAGGCTGCTGTAAGTTTCTAAACATTTGATTTTTCCTTCTAGACATTTGATTTTTAGGAAATAAATACATTTTCAGTATTTACCAAAAAATTGAGTAATACTTATTGGGTTTTCCTGATGAGATAATGGTGCCAGTAGTAGTGGCATTTTAGTGAAGTTTGTCATGTATATTGGAAAGTAGTATTTCCTTTATTTTATTAGCTTAGATATAATATTAAGCTCCTCGGTAGATATAATATATCTGGACTACCTAATAAAAAAGGGAATTGGCAGGGACCGGTTTGGCTCAATGGATAGAGCATCGGCCTGCGGACTGAAAGGTCCCGGGTTCGATTCCGGGCAGGGGCATGTACCTTGGTTGTGGGCACATCCCTGGTAGAGGGTGTGCAGGAGGCAGCTGATCGATGGTTCTCTCTCATCGATGTTTCTAACTCTCTATCCCTCTCTCTTCCTCTCTGTGAAAAATCAATAAAATATATTTTTAAAAAAATGGAATTGGGGAAGAGATGGATACATTGTTCCAATGCAATACTTTTATTTTTTGTGAAAGGCTTTTAATTTTTACTTTGTATATTCCCCCTCTTTTTACTTTTTAAATGTTTTTATTGATTTCAGAGAAGTGAGAGGGAGAGATAGAAACATCAGTGATGAGAGTCACTGATAGGCTGCCTCTTGTACACTCCATACTGGGGGATCAAGCCCGCACCCCAGACGTGTGCCCTGACCAGGAATCAAATTGTGACCACCTGGTTCATAGGTTGATGCTCAACCACTGAGCCACAACAGCTGGGCTTCTCCCCTTTATTTAAATCTATATTTCAATTATAGTTTATATACGATATGATATTAATTTCAGATGTACACCAGGGCAATACTTTTAACCTTTTAGGGAGTCTCATATTTTTCCTGAAAACCAAATGAAAGCTATTCATCTGCAGAGGGACAAAAAGCGCCTATACACATAATTTTGCTCAGTTTTAGGTTCATGGATTTCAGATTTTAGAAGCCGCTTTGAGGTAGTTTTTCCTAACATTTTTACATGGTAACATATTGGCCTAAATGAAGGAGGCCACTTGCATAATCTTCCTGAGACTATCAGCTGAAAGCTGAGATTCAATATATGGCCTCTCCATACCAGTTCGAAGTTTTCTCTTAAAAAAGAGTGAAAGAACTAGCATCACTTGCCCAAGACTATTTAACTCACCAAAGATATAGCTGGGACCTTCCTGACCCCCATATAAATATTCTTCTGTCCTTAGGGGGGACCCCCCCCCACCATGTAGGTGTACCTGATGGCAGGCTGCTCTGTAAATAATAAAGATGGTTTTGATTTAAATAGTTAATTGTTTTTTAAAAAGTATAGCTGGGAGCCACTGAATGTTGTCTTCCTCTAAAGCCTTTCTCTAAGCTGTGAAGCCTCATAGTAAAAAAGGAGGTGGGGGCAGGTAGGTAGATATATTGTTTTTTTCTTACTCAGAGTAAGGACTGTGTACATGTTTACTAATTCAAAAAAGAAGCCACATCAGTAACATTATGATGATATAATTTTCTTAAAAATGAAATGACCTAACATAATTGATTCAATAAATTATGATCCACCAACACAGGAATATTATGTAATAACTAGACATCTGGTGCATAGATTTGTGCATTGGTGGGTTCCCTCAGCCTGGCCTGCACCCTCTCGCAAACTGGCCAGGCCTGCGGGGGTTGAGTCAAAACTGGCAACCCAACATTCCCTGAGGGGTGTAGTGCGCAAGGCGGCAGGTGGCCAGGAAGGAGCCCGAGCCCTGGCCAGGTGCCACGCGGCTCCTCCTCCCAGCCCAGCTGCGCCTGCTGCCACTGCTGTTCAGTAGCACCGTGGCGGAGGTGGGAGAGGCTTGTGACACTGCAGCTGAGCTTGCCAGCCTTGAGCCTAATGTCTGGTGCCTGTCGGTCAGCTGAGCGGTGCTCCCCCTGTGGGAGTGCCCTGACCACCAGGCGGCAGCTCCTGCATTGAGCATTTGCCTCCTGGTGGTCATAGTGACCAGTCGTTCAGTCACTTAGGCTTTTATATATCGTATATAGATAACAGGTTCATCATGGAAAATATAAACATGAAAATAATAAAACACTCTGTGTTAACTATGTAAATATAAACATTTAGCCCTAGCCAGATTGGCTCAGTGGAGAGAGCATCAGCCTGCAAACTGAAAGATCCCAGGTTTGATTCCAGGTCAGGGGACATGCCTGAGTTGTGGGCTCAATACCCAGTAGGGAGCGTGCAAGAGGCAGCTGATCAATGATTCTCTCTCATCATTGAGGTTTCCGTATCTCTCTTCTTTCCTCTGAAATCAATAAAAATATATTTAAAATCCTATCTAATAAAGAGGGAATATGTTAATTGACTACCATGCCCTCAAAGATGGCAGCACCCACAGTCAATAAGGAGGGAATATGCTAATTGACTGCCCTAACCTCAAAGATGGCAGGGCCTATAACCACAAGTTGGTGATGCCTGGTCCCCTCAGCCCCCTGTACTGCCTCCGGAGTCCCCCAGTCCCCTCAGCTGCCCAGGGCTGGCCCAAGATACAGGCAAGTCTTGGATGGCGGCTGCCCAGGACTGGCCTGAGGCACAGGCAAGCCTTGGAATGCAGCTGCCCAACCGCCCAGGGCTGCCCAAGGCTCAGGTAACCAGGACTGGCTGAGGCTTGTGCTGTTGGCAATGGCAGTAGCATAGGTGTGATGGGGTGTCACCTTCCCCTGATTGCAGGGTCACCTCCCGCCCCTGAGGGCTCCTGCACTGTGCTAGGGGACAGGCCAGGCTGAGGGACACTCCCCCCCCCTCCAGTGCATGAGCTTTCATGCACTGGGCCTCTAGTCTATATAATAAAAGCCCAATATTCTAAGTGACCATTCATTCGATTATTTGACTAGTTGCTATGACACACACTGACTACCAGGGGCAGACTCTCCGACTGGTATGTTAGCTTGCTGCTGGGGTATGGCTGATTGGGATTGGGCGAGATGGGCTGGACATGCCCTGGAATCCTCCCTCCCTGAACCTAATTGTGCACTGGTGGGGCCCCTTGGCCTGGCCTGTGGGGAATGGGCTGCAACCGGCTCCCCAACATCCTCCAAAGAGCCCCAGATTTGAAGAGGGCAATCCAGGCCACGTGACCCCACTGATGCACAAATCCATGCACTGGGCCTCTAGTGTGTGTGTGTGTGTATATATATATATATATATATATATATATATATATATATATAAACATTTATTTATTGATTTATCCAATCACTTATTAAGCACCTACTATCCTATATAATCCTACATAATAAAAGGGAAATATGCAAGTTTAACCAAATGACAGAATGACCAGAATGACCGCTCAACCAGTCACTATGAGGTGTACTGACCACTTTTTCGTGCCTTTTCCTGGCTGGCAGGCTCCCATCGCCTGGTGGCGAACAGGGAACTGGGGGTGAGGAGCAGGGGATGCGGCCAATGCCCCTGCCCTGCCAGTCACCCCACATACTGGGTGACCCTAGGTGGGGGCAGGTCTGGCAAGTAGGTGGGAACGACCCACCTCTCGGTCCTGCCCTGCAGCTGTCAGGCTTTGATCACCCCATGGTGAACAGGGAACCTGGGGTGGGGCGGCAGCTGGGGAAGATGGCCCTGATTGCAGGGCAGGCCTACCCATGCATGAATTTCATGCACTGGGCTTCTAGTATTTAGTCAGTGTATTTACAGCAGAAATAATCTCTAACCTAATAGAGTAATGGAGAAAGATGGATAACATTGTTTCAGGACAATAGGTTTTAACCTTTTAGGGGTTTCATATTCATCCTGAGAATCTAATGAAAACTATTTATCTTCAAGGAAGGAAATACTACAACTTTGCAAAGTAAGGTGCAAAGTAACAGATACAAATAAAAATAGTTTTATTAAGATAGTTATATTTGGCTGAGTGCTCCCCACTGATCCTGCTTTTTCCTTCTGGCAATGTAAAATAAATCTATTTCTTCTTTGATTAGACAGCCCAGACAGGTATATAATCATGTCTCCTTCCCTGGAAAAAACCTCCCTCGTTCTTGTTAGAATTCTTTTTTTTCTTCTTTCTAAATATGTTTTTATTGTTTTTTAGAGAGAGAGAAAGGGAAAAGGGAAGAGAGAGAAACATCAAGAAGCATTGATTGGCTGTCTCGTGCATGCCCCCTTCTGGGGATCGATCTGAAATCCTGGTATGCTCTCTGACGGAATCAAATTGACGCCGCTCGGTGCAGGGGATGACGCTTAACTAACTGAGCCACACCGGCCAGCGCTCTTGTTAGCATTCTTAATGTGTATTCTTTTTCACACCAGTTTCCATGTTTATCGTCCTTTATTGAGCATTCCCTTGCTTGTTAGTGTCCATTAAAGTGTGCTCCAAAGTGAAAATGTCCCACATGTGGTATGACCAGTTGGGCATTGTAGTAGTTTGCTAGGGCCCCTATAGCAAAATAACACAAACTAGATAGCTTAACAAATAGTAATTTACTTTCTCATTAGGTTAGAAATCTAATATCAAAGTGTCAGTAGGTTTGGTTTCTCTCAAGGCCTCTCTCTTTGGCTTGCATATGCTGTCTTCTCATTGTTTGCAGTCTTTCCTCTGTGCACACACATCCCCAGTGTCTCTGTGTCCAAATTTCCTCTTGTAAGGATACCAGTCAGATTGGATTTGGGCTCATTCTGCAGTTTACCTAAATCATCTCTATAAAGGCTCTGTCTCCAAGAGTAGTCACATCCTGAGGTACTGGGGATTAAGTTTTCAACATTTGAATTTGGGGAGGGACATAATTTAATCCGTAACAGGTACCATATTTTTGTGTTGATGTGGTGGAACTATGGAAGAATCTTCATTTCTTTTTTCACGGTTATGTATTTTAACAATACATAGAAATAAGTAATTTTTTTTTTTTCTTTTAGCCAACATCTGAAGATGAAGAAGGCTGGAAAAAATTTTGTCTGGGTGAAAGGTTATGTTCTGAAGGGGCTGTTGAACCAACTAAAAATGAAAATCCTGGAATAGATTTTATACAAGTAGGTGATAAGTAGTTAAAACAAAGTATTCTAGTCCTACTGCATCTCTTTTTTTAAAATATATATTTTTATTGATTTCAGAGAGGAAGGGAGAAAGAAACATCAGTGCTGAGAGAGAATCATTGATCCGCTGTCTCCCACATACCTTACACCAGGAATAGAACTGCAACCCGGGCATCTGTCCCAGCCGGGAATTGAACCATGACCTCCTGGTTCATCGTAGACGCTCAAACACAGTGCCATGCCCGTTGGGCCATCATCAGCAAGCTGCAGCCTGGTCCAGTCCAGTCTATTTTTTATACAGCTAAGAGTGGTTTTTATAAAAAAAAAAAAAAAAAACTAATAATATGTGATTAAGACAGTGTGTGGCCTGCAAAGCCTAAAATATTTAGTTTGGTCATTTACAGAAAATGTTTGCCAACCCCAGAGTTATAGTGTATTAACTCTTTAATTTAAAAATTAGTATCCCAGCTGAAACCGGTTTGGCTCAGTGGATAGAGTGTTGGCCGGGTTCAATTCCGGTCAAGGGCATGTACCGTGGTTGCGGGCACATCCCCATTAGGGGGTGTGCAAGAGGCAGCTGATGGATGATTCTCTCTCATTGATGTTTCTAACTCTCTATCCCTCTCTCTTCCTCTCTGTAAAATATCAATAAAAAGATAATGATATTTAAAAAGATAAACAAGTAAAAATAAAAAATAAACTGTATATTAGTAACTTGCTTTAAAAAAAAAATTTTGGTATCCCAGTTTCTGAAACAACGTACTGTGACATTTTTTAGATTGGCTTCATATCATTAATGTTTTAATTAGATAGTATTTTTTTTTTAAATTGTTAGTCATGAGTCGAACAATGAGTGACAAATGGCAGAGAAACGGGAAAACATATGACATGATGAGGGATATTTAAAAAAAAAAAAAAATATATATATATATATATATATACACACACACACACACACACACATAGACTTTAGAGAGAAAGGGAGAGGGAGAGAGAGAGAGAAAAAAAATCAATGATGAGAGAGAATTGTTGATTGGCTGCTTCTTGCATGCCCCCTACTGGGGATTGAGCCAGCAACCAGGCATGTGCCCTTGACTGGAATCAAACCTGGGACCCTTCAGTCCACAGGCTGACGCTCTATCCACTGAGCCAAACCAGCTAGGTCATGATGATGAGAGATGTTCTTAAAAATCCTTAGTAAATTTCATATTCTGGAGATGGAATTGCTGAGTGTACATTTAAATTTCCCAAAGCTTTACAAATTATGTGGACAACTTCTTGTCCTTCAGGATTCACCTGCCCTCAAGTTTGCAGATGTTTCTATGGAACCCTCTGCATACATCAGCATTACTACTAACTCTATATTATGTTGTTCTGTTCTATTGAACAGGTATTTATTGTGTGCTACATGTTACCACATTGTGTTTTTCCTATTTAAAACTAATTTATCCCCAAATGTAAAAGCTCCAAAAATCACTGAAAAAGACTGAGGACCCAGTTAAAAACAATAGTCCAATAATACAAATAGACCTCACAGAAAGGAAATACAAATTGTTCTTATATGAGAAGATGCACAAACTCACTTGTAATAAAATGTAACTATATTGAGCTGCTATTTTTTCAGGTAATATATTGGCAAAGAAGGCTTGATAAATTGTGTTGATAGGGCTAGGAAAACAGGTATTCTAATATATGTGATGAGAGTGAAAAATAGCTTCAGATCTCCAGGGGAAGTAATTTGGCACTGTTTCTTATACAACCTGTTCTTTAAAAAAAAAAAAAAAATAAAGTATATATTTTTATTTATTTTAGAGAGGAAGGGAGAGGGAAAGAGAGAGAGAGACATCAATGATGGGAAAGAATCATTGATCAGCTGCCTGCCTCATGAACATCCCACAATGGGGATTGGGCTCACAATCTGGACATGTGCCCTAACCAGAAATTGAACCTTGACCTCCTGCTTCATAGGTTGATGCTCAACCATTGAGCCATGCTGGCTGGGCGCATGTCCTCTTAAGTTTCTCACAAGTCTATGCTGTTTTCATAATCAATGTTTTTAGCATTAAGCTGTAAAGTAGAATTTAAAGGTTTGAATCAGAGTAGGTTTGAAAAAACTCATTCTAATTCAAGTGCCTTTTATTTTTGAAAATATTGGCTTTAGCTAAAGATTCTTTTAAAATACTCAATGAACTAATTATTTGTGGGGTTTTTAAAATTGATTTTGAGAGAGAAAAACATTGATTGGTTGCTTCCTGCATATGCCCCAAATGCGGATGGAATCTGCAACTTGGGTATGTGCCTTGACTGGGAATTGAACCGGCCACCTTTTAATGAGTTGGACAATGCTCCAATCAAGTCATACTAGGCAAGGCTAGCTGAAGATTTTTTAAAAGATTGTATCAGCCCTAGCCAGTTTTCTCAGTGGTTAGAGTGTTGGCGTGGACAGAAGAGTTGAAGGTTCAGTTCTGGTCAAGGGCACAGACAAGGCCACGTACCAAGTGTATCACATATTTATGTTACAGTATTAATAATGTCAGTATCTTTTAAAAAAATTTTCATACTTTAACATTTTAATTACAGAAATCATTTTTTATTTTTAAATTTACATATTCAGGTTTTAGGACATTATTTGGGAGTATTACTTCATGGAACATTTTATTATAATAGGCAATAAAGGAGTTTTGTTTTATAGCCTTTTTTGTTTCTAAGTAATAGTGTGATAAAAAAAAATTCACCAGTTTGAAAAAAAATTAAATCCCTCCTTATAATACTATTTAGTAAATTTCAATCTCATTTTTCTTTCAGATTGGTTTTCCTCCCTTGCTTAGTATTGTTAGCAGAATGAATCAGGTAAAGTCTCTCTAATAAGGATATATGCATTCTTTTGTTTGAGTGTGTGAAAGTATTTGAATACATTTACTGGATATTTATGCAAGACCATGTCCTAACTCTTGTGTGCGTGTTTTTTAAATTCTTTAACATTTCTTATTTAATCCTTAATGCCACCCTGTTTAGGGAGCTATTATTAACATGTATCCACTTTTTAGAGAAGAGGAAACAAAATTAAAGGTTAAGCTATTTTTCCAGCAAGTTTTAATGGCAGCACTGGTATTCAATACGAGAGTGACCTAATTCTAGAACTGATTCTCTTAATCATGGTGTTAAACTATTTAATTGAATATGTTTTAGTTAGGCTTAGATTCTGAGGTTTGAAGTAAATACTAAGGTTAGATTTCTATTTCTAATTCCAGATAGCCTATGTATTGTATTACAAATAAAATACAGTTGACCTCTGAATAGCACTGGGGTTAGGGACACTGACCCACTATAGTTGAAAATCTACATATAATTTTGACTCCCCCAAAACTTAACCACTACATACATATCTTGGATAAAATGGAGAAAGATGGATTTTGTTTCTTCAGACTTTTAGGACTAGTAATTATCCATTTAAAGACCACCAAAGTTTGTTTTGTCTTAACATAACATTGGCTACCCTTGGAAGATGAAATTTTTATATTCTGTCTTAATTTTACTGCCTGACAGTTTTACTTCATTGATTGTTTGCATTAAGATACCATAGTGTTCACACTAAATTCCATCAGAATGTTTTTAACTGTCCAACTAAAAATAAGGCAGATAATATACACTGAGTGGCCAGATTATTATGATCACTGAATGTATAATAATCTGGCCATTACGTGTATATCCTATATAATAAAAGGCTAATATGCAAATTGCCCCCTCGATCAGGAGTTTGACCAGCAGGCGGGCCGGCCAACTGCCCATGTCCCCTTTCCCTGGACAGGCTGGCTGGACCCCACCCATGCACGAGTTCATACATACACACACACACACACACACACACACACACACAGACACACACACACTGAGTGGCCAGACTATTATGTATTCAGAGTTCACAATAACCTGGTGCGCGCGCGCGCGTGTGTGTGTGTGTGTGTGTGTGTGTGTGTGTGTGTATTTAATCCTCACCTGAGGACATTTTTCCATTGATTTTTAGAGAGAGTGGAAGAGAGAGGGAAAGACAGAGAGAAACATCGATTGGTTGCCTCCTGCACAAGCCCTGACCAGGGCCTGGTTCTGGGAGAAGCCTGTAACCAAGGCACATGCCCCTGACCAGAATCGAACCTGAGACCCTTCCATCCGCAAGCTGACACTGTATCCACTAAGCCAAACCAGATAGGGCAAAGCAGATAATATTTTTAACAATTTGATACAATCTGCTGTATAGTTTTAAAACAGATTTTTCTGTAGCTAACTTTCTGTTCAGATTTGTACAGTGTTCCAATGTATGCAAAGACTTTTTTTAAGAGCACATGGAATTTTTGAAGTAGTGTTAACCTAAATTAGTAGTTATAAACTAAATATTAGGATTTAAATTAAGGTATTGATACTTGAAAGTGTGTAAGAATATTTATCTTAAAAGCCTCTTCTCACTGAGTGAGAGCCATCTAATCAAATTACTAAATAGAGCCACAGTTTTCTCTGGAAGTCTAAAGACTGAGGCCACTTTAAATATCAGAATTGCTGTCTAACTAACTTAATAAAACTCATTTTGAACTTGTCATTCTTTTATTACTAATTCTTCCACCTTTTCTGCCCTTTTTTTAGGCAACAGTAACCAGTGTCTTGGAATATCTGAGTAATTGGTTTGGAGAAAGAGACTTTACTCCAGAATTGGTAATTTTACATGTTTTCATTTTCGTAATTCAGACAAAATTATATACTCTACACTATTTATAGTTATGTATGTATTACATATATTTTTATACCTCTGTATAATGCTAATGATGTTTGCAGTGAAACAAGAAACTTATACTAGAATATAAATCAACATACTACTATCTTGAGAAAGTCTTGCTTTGGAGGAGAAAATGTCCACTGAGCAGTTGATTTTTATCCTGAGACAGACTGCTTATCTCGTTGCAGTCCAATAACGAACTAGCAACCAATCTGCAGACCCCATTTTGAGTGGCACTGGCTTAAAGAAGTTTGAAACATATTTTCTAAAATCTTATTGAAAAATAACACCAATAATATCACTTTGTGCCAGATATTGTTCTAAGGACTTTGTATGTAATAATTCCTTGAATCCTCTAATAACCTATCAACTATTATTATTATTTCCATTTTATAGATAGGAAACTAGTGAACATAGGGATTCAGTAACTTGCTTAAGATCACACAGATTATAACTGGCAGAACTGAAATCATGCCTAGGTAACCTGACTATATACTCTTAACAGCTATGCTACACCGCTTTATTGCTTCATTTTCATAGCTCTTTTTTTTTTTAACCTTCACTAAATTTTGAAAAATACAGATCACATATGTGCCATTGTCTTAATATCTCATAATCTACATTGATTCATTATTGATCATTTGGATTCTTCCTTATATTTTTCAGTCATGACTAAAATGTTAATGTATAATAATTTCTTAGGCTATTTATAGAGTAGAATTATTGAATCCAGATTTTAAAAGCCTTTGTTACATTCCACCAGATTACTTTCCAGAAGAAATGAAGGAGTTTATACTGTATCAGTTATGGCTGCTTAACGTTAGTTCTCTTCCCTGAAACCTTAGTTTAAATTGAACCATACGAAATCACCATTTTTTTATAAGTTAAAACCCTTTGATTATCAATAATTCTATATGATGGTTCAATCTATCATTATCTGTGTTTTTCATATTTAGTGAATTTATAGTAGAACTTTAGAGTCAATGTAATTTACATGTCTTTCAATACCACTAAAACAGATGTTTTTTTCATGCACTGGTATATTAGATGTTCTTTGCTCATATTCTTAGGCTATTTTTTCATTGAAATCTAGATATTGAACTTTAAATTTTATAGCATTTCCTTCTGTCTGATAATGACCTCTTGTCTGTATTACTTATCTGTTTTCCTTGTCTTCCTTTAATGTTTATTTTTTAACTGTTGTAAGATCTTAAAAAAATATTTTTATTGATATTTTAATTTTTTTTGAATGTTCAATTATTAGTATACAGTTTTCTTTTTAAAAAAATATTTTTATTGATTTTATACAGAGAGGAAGAGAGAGGGATAGAGAGTTAGAAACATCATTGAGAGAGAATCATCGATCGGCTGCCTCTTGCACACCCCCTACTGGGGACGTGCCCTCAACCAAGGTACATGCCCCCAACCGGAATTGAACCTAGTCCTTTCAGTCCGTAGACCAATGCTCTACCACTGAGCAAAACCGGTTTCGGCTATTTTTATTGATATTTTAGAGAGAGAAAAGGAGAGGGGGAGAGAGAAACATTCATGCCAGAGCGAAACATTGATGGGCTGCCCCCTGCACATCCCCAACCGGTGATCAAGCCCCCAACATGGGCTGGAATCAAACCCGTAATATTTCCGTGCATGGGACAACGCCCAACAACTGAGCCACACTAGCCAGAGCTGTTGTAAATATTTTTTTTAAAAACATATAAAGATTACTAGAGGGTGATAAGTTTGGCTTTTCCTGTTAATTAGTGAAAGCATATTACCAAAAAGTGTACCTATATTTGTCAAAGAAACCATTAAAGTATTATATTTCTGAGCCACTGACAAATGATTTACTAAATCTTAACCGGATTAATCTTTGAGTGTTATTTTGAGTAATCTGTCACTAAAATCAGTAGTGTTCAGTTCCCCCATTCAAATAACCATGTCATCAGAACTCTAGTATTGAGAATATTAGTGTTTAAAGCATATTATAAACTAGAAAAAAGGAAAAGGAACTTTTCTAAAATTTCTTTTCTTGGTATTACTTGGTATTTACTAATCTTAATAGTTGTTTTTGTTTGTTTGTTCTTAGAAATGTAGCCTTATTTTTTTAATATATTTTTATTGATTTCAGAGGAAGGGAGAAAGAGATAGAAACATCAGTGATGAAAAAGGATCATTGATTGGCTGCCTCCTGCACACCCCCTTCTGGGAATCGAGCCCGCAACCCAGGCATGGGCCCTTGACCGGAATTAAACCCAGGATCCTTCTGTCCACCAGCTGATGCTCTTATCCACTGAGCCAAACCAGCTAGGGCATGAAACTTTATTTTTAAAAGCAGATGTATTCATAGGAAAAGGGGAACATTTTTATTTATTTTGTTAACCCTCACCCAAGGATATTTTTTCCATTGATTTTTAGAGAGAGTGGAACAGAAGGGGAGAGACAGAGAGACACATTGATTGTTTGCCTCCTGCATGTGCCTGACCAGGACTAGGGATGGAGCCTGTAACTGAGGTATGTGCCCTTGACTGGAACCGTACCAGGGATCCTTCAGCCTTTGGGCCAACACTCTAACCACAGAGCCAACTAGGGCGGTGGTCGGCAAATTGCACCTCACAAGCCACACGCGGCTCTTTGGCCCCCTTGAGTGTGGCTCTTCCACAAAATGCCATGGCCTGGGCGAGTCTGTTTTGAAGAAGTTGGAGTTAACAGTTTAAGTTTAAAAAAATTTGGCTCTCAAAAGAAATTTCAATCATTGTACTGTTGATATTTGGCTCTGTTGACTAATGAGTTTGCCAACCACTGAACTAGGAAGAAAGGTGAACATTTAAAAAATTAGCAGAAAGTTTATCAAGATGGTGGGGTTTCAGATTCATTTTTTCTTTGTGCATTTTGTATTTAGTTTTTCTGCATTTAGTATTATTTTTGTAATTAAAAAGAAAAACCCATTTTAAAATGGGATGGGAATAAATTTAGCTTGCATGGTATTTATAGAAATATCAAAACATTATTTCATCTAGAATATAGTTCCTTTGTATAGACCCAGGGGACAGACAAAGTTTTGAAATTATAATATGAGTGGACCGAGGAGTCTCAGGTTTGGTTCCCGATCTAGATCTTATAGTATCTTGGTTGCAGGTTCAATCCCTAGTTCTGGTCGGGCGGCCCTGGTTAGGGTGCATGTGGGAAGCAACCAGCTGACATGTCTCTCTCACATCGATAGCTTTCTCTCCTCCTCCCACCTTCCACTCTCTCTAAAAATCAGTTGAAAAAATATTCTCCCTTGGGTGAGCATAAAGAAAATTAAATAATAAAATAAAATGCATTTCTACAGGCAAAAAATTTATAATATGACTTGTATATCTGTCTCTAGAAGGCAAAGGAAAAATATCTTAATTTTTCAAGGACTCATACACATCTTTTTTTAAAAATATATTTTATTGACTTTTTACAGAGAGGAAGAGAGAGGGATAGAGAGTTAGAAACTCGATGAGAGAGAATCATCGATCAGCTACCTCTTACACACCCCCCACTGGGGATGTGCCTGCAACCAAGGTACATGCCCTTGACCGGAATCGAACCCGGGACCCTTCAGTCCGCAGGCCGACGCTCTATTCACTGAGTCAAACCGGTTTTGGCCTCATACACATCTTAATGCAGTTTTTTACCTATGAATTGGGACTATAATTGTAATAAGAATCTCTGAAACAAACTTTTCTGGGGGTAAGACTACCATTTTTCCCTGAAAATAAGACATCCTTCGAAAATAAGACCTAGCGCATGGAAAGATAAGATATCCCCTGAAAATAAGACCTAGTGCAACTTTGGGAGAAAAAATTAATATAAGACACTGTCTTATTTTCGGGGAAATGGTATTTTGAAGTATCTAATGTCTGTGTCTAAAGTTAGAAAATACCTTGCTAGCTAGATGACCTTTTATTATCTATCTGTATCCAAACATTATACAGTTAAATGTTCTGCTAAATGTGTGAACTTATTCATAGCAAATAACCAGACACAACTTGGAACATTTTAAAAATTAGTTGAAACATGATGATGCAATATTTCTCTACTTATTATTTTTTAAAATTTTATTTAGGGAAGATGGCTTTATGCTTTGTTGGCTTGTCTTGAAAAACCTTTATTACCTGAGGCTCATTCACTGATTCGACAACTTGCAAGAAGATGCTCTGAAGTGAGGCTTTTAGTGGTAAGTTGCAATATGGTGATAAAAGATTCCAATGAAATAAGAAAACCTGGAATATTTTCTCAGTCAGATGGCTGCTAGAGCCTTGGCCACTGTAAGTTCATTATAAGCAGTTGGAAAGAAAAAAAGAGGGCCATCATCCTCTTTAAGAGACTTCCCAGAGGTTCCACTGCACATCTGGCTATGTAGCTCATTGGCCAGAATTTGGTCACATGGCCATAAGAAACTGGGGAAAGTTTACTTTTAGCTGGGTGGCAGTGTGCCTGACTGAAAATGAGCTTCATGGTCAGGGGATGTAAGAAGCTGTTCTAGTCATCTAGCAATCTCCAGTCCAATGATTGATTTGAATTTCTCCCGTCAGACCCTCTGACTTACATGTAGCATTACCATAAAAATTAAAACCCTATTAAACCCACTTCTGATTTTTTTTTCATCCCTCCTTCCCCTCCACAAAATGTAAACTTGACTATTCCATAGTACTTTCATTAGACTACTGTGATGTGGCCAAAACGAACTTAATGGCCTGTACTCCAAGCAAATTTTGGCTATTCAATAACTACTATTCCCCATGCTTTGTTCCTAGACTTTATTCCCTCTGCAGAAGAGCCTTTTCACTCTCTTCCAGTCTGCATCTCAGTGCCATCCCCCCCCCCCCAATCTGGCTTATATCTCACCATATTCTATGATACATTTCCTGATCCTAACAACAAAAAAGAATCTTCTGTTCTCTCATTATACTTTGTATCTTTTCTATGGCACCTTACACATTTTCCCTTTCATTAAAGCTATTTTGTGGATATTTCATCTTCTGTGCTATTAACAGTTAATATGTCTATTCACTTTGTCCCATATGGTGCTTGGTACATAGAGTTGAGTACAATAACATCATGGACGTGTGTCCCAAGTTTCAATTAATATATGACATGTCTGTTATAATATTACTCAATAGGTTATTGTGACTGTTCCTTGAAATGTATAAAAATAAATTTCATACTCTGTAAGACTATTTTCCATGTATCTTAGATCTGTCATTTTAACAAATACTTTTTTTTTTTAAATTAATAATCTTTTATTGATTTTCCACAGAGAGGAAGGGAGAGGGATAGAGAGGTAGAAATTGTTGATGAGAGAGAAATGTCCACGAGCTGCCTCCTGCACACCCCCGACCAGGGATGTGCCCGCAACCAGTGTACATGCCCTTGACCAGAATCGAATCTGGGACCCTTCAGTCCACAGGCCCGACGCTCCATCCACTGAACCAAACTGGTTTCAGCTAACAAATACTTTAAGTGAACTTTCTAAAATGCATAGTTCAGGAACTACTTCCATCATAATTGAGTGCCCTGATCTAGAATATTTACTGGTATGTCTTAATGCTGGAAGCCAGAATTTCACTCCTTCTCAATTGTAAGTTCTCTAAAATATTTTACATACCTTTTCATTACTATCCAGTAAGACATAGGCTTTTTTGCTGCACTTCTTGGAACTAGGAAAGATGTTCTCCAAAGTTATTCTTAGAGCCCTTAATCCTTCCTTCTTTTCCCCATTAAGCATATTTATTTAAAAGATTATCTGAGCTATTTCTTGAGGGATCATTAATTCTACAGTTTGGTCTTTTTTCTTTTATGATTCCTACCGGTATTTCCATGTGATTCTTACTATCACCTAATAAAATTTTGCATCAAAAGGAAATTTTTTTCAAAGATAGTAGGGAAGAACAGATTACATTTTGAGTTCTACCAATGTGGCTTCCTCTTTTTTTTTTTTTTTTTTTTTTTTTTTAGAACAGCCAAGATGATGAGAGAGTTCCTGCTTTGAATTTATTAATCTGCTTGGTAAGCAGGTAAGTAATATTTGGCTTCTTACTTTGTAATAGTATTTTATTAATGGTGGTAGAGTTTATTTACATTTTACAGTAGAGGAAATTGAAGTGTAAGAAAACATACTGTACGTATCACAGCTTTTAGTTTTTTTCTATAAATAATGCTTTAGTGAAGATCCTTAAACGTACAGCTCCATTTTTTCCTGAAGTTTATGTCAAAGGGAGACTGAGGGACCTGATGCATTGGGGAAGAATGAACAGAAACCTCAGGGTTGAAAGGTCCAGGGTCGGCAGAAGGGACTTTGAGTGGAGAAGTAGGATTTGATGAGTAGAGCAAGTTTGAGTGGAAGACGATTGAGGAGTACAAAGAAGGCCTGGATGTAGGGGATCTCTGATCACTTTTCATTGCCATGACAGAAATTGTCTAAGTCCCAGAGAATTTTAAAATCTCAGGCCAGTGTGAATAATTTATATTATGGACTAGGGGCCCAGGGCATGAATTCGTGCACCTTGAAAGGATCTGTGGGCCGTGAGGCTGCAGTGGGCACAGGGGTGGTCTTGGCCCATCCTCCACGACCCCACCCAGCCTCCTGCCAGCAGCCCCGCTTTCTGCTGCCACCTCCAGCTCCCACACGCTGATGGTGTCAGCCCCATTCGCGTCTGCTGATGGCGTGGAGTGATCGGGGTGTGAGCAGCAGCTACTGGCCTGATTGCCCCTCAGGAACAGGGGGAGGTTGAGAAGCCCTGAGGGGCGATAGGGGCCAGAGACAGGTAGTGGCAGCATGTGCAAGCACTGGGCAGGACTGTAGCACACAGGAGCAAAGAATTTTCAGTAACCACCAGAGACCTGCCCCAATGACAGCAACTGGTGCCCCGTTAGTCTGGCACTCCAGCTCACCTTCTCCGCCATCGCACTGCAGCCGACGCCCACCATGTTCCGCACTCTGCCGCCTGCTACCGAAGCCTGCCATGTTCCATGCGCACCTCCTGGTAGCAACCAGTTGTTAGGTTGTTCTGCCATTCAGTTTTTTGCATATTAGGATTTTGTTTATCTAGAAGATAAAGCACTTTGCCTGGACCTCTGTGCAAAGGCTGAGCATGTTAAGGTTATGGGGTAGAAATCCCAGAGGAGCGTATTTTGGGAGGGATGGAAAAAAAATTCCCTATGGTATAAATTAGGAAGAGGAGATAAGCAACAAATGGAGATCCCAGGAGCAAGAATAGAGGGAGGGCGTCTCCACCAACTAGTCAGGCTCTGGAGAGAGGTCAGTCTAATCCGCATGGCAGGCATCCCCTGTGATGTGGAAGTCTGTGGGGCCTGGTCTCAGGGGCCGAAGCCAGGCAGGAGCGCTAGGTCTTTAATGTGAGATGAGGAGCAAATCAGAAATCCATTTGTCACGTATCGGAAATGAAATGAACCATTATTGAGTGCAGGAAGGAGAGGTCCCCAGGAGGACTCGTACGGGAGGGAGGCATAATTGAAGCCAGTAACCATGTCATCTGAGTAGGATTCAGAGGAAAGGTCAGATTGAGCTGCCACTGCCTATTGCTCTCCAATTAGTAAACACAGGGTGACTAAAGCCAGCGATGACTTCCCTTCCCCATGGAACCCTCCTGGGTTTTGTCACCAAATGTTAGGATTACTGAAGGAGGAATGCACAAGACCAAAGGGGATAAAGAATTATGAATTTATTAGGTCATTTGGATACCCAGAGGGACTGAACCCCCAAATGGTGACAGCATCCAAGGACTGAGAGTCAGAGATTGTAAAGGACTCTAGGTGGGCTTTTATTAGTCAGAGAATTCCCTTGGTGAGTCCTGAGAAGAAAGATAATGGTCATAGTAAGTGGAATGTGGTCTTAGCAAGTGCTAAACAAAAGAAAATGTCTGTTGTGGTCTAAAGGTCAGTTCCCAAGGGAAGTGTCTTCAATTATTCAATCAGATCTAACAACCCCCTCCCCCAAACCAATTCATCACCCAGGTTCAGGAATTACTAACTACTAGAGGCCCAGTGCATGAAATTCATGCACAGGGGTGGGAGGGTTCCTCAGCTCAGCCTGCACCTTCATGCAGTCCAGGGCTGCTGGCTCCTAACCACTCACCTGCCTGCCTGATCACCCTTAACCACCTCTGCCTTAGCCCCTGCCACTGGCTTTGTCTGGAAGGTCGTTCAACTGCCAGTCTAATTAGCATATTACAATTTTATTATACACTAGAGGCCCGGTGCATGAAATTTGTGTGTGAGGGGGGAAGTTGTCCCTCAGACCAGCTTGCACCCTCTCCAGTCTGGTACCCCTCTCACAATCCAGGACTGTTGGCTCCCAACTGCTCACCTGCCTGCCTTTCTGATTGCCCCTAACTGCTTCTGCCTGCAAGCCTGATCACCTAACCACTCCCCTGTCAGCCTGATTGATGCCTAACTCCTCCTCTGCCAGCCTGTTTGCCCCTAACTGTCCTCCCCTGCATGCCTGGTCACCCCCAACTACCCTCCTCTACCAGACTGGTCACCCCTAACTGCACTCCCCTTAGGTTTGATCATCCCGAACTGCCCTCCCCTGCTGGCCATCTTGTGGTGGCCATCTTGTGTCCACATGGGGGTAGCTATCTTGTGTGTTGGAGTGATGGTCAATCTGCATATTACTCTTTTATTAGATAGGATAGAGGCCTGGTACATGAGTTGGGGCCAGCTGGTTTGCCTTGAATGGTGTCCAGGATCAGGGTGGGGGTTCTCTTGGATCGTGGAATGGCTTAGGTGAGGGGTCTGTGGTGGTTTGCAGAATGGCCACGCCCCCCCAGCATCCCAAGTGGAGGCCCTAGTATCTGGGATTTATTTATCTTCTACAATTGAAACTGTAACTTGAGTGAGCCAAGCCTTCTGCTTGCTCTATGGAGGCAGCCATGTCTGTTGGGATTTATTTATCTTCTGTCATTGAAGTTTTGTAGCCTTAAGCAGAGGCCAAGGAAGGCCAGGGCTGCAGAAGCTTGGCTTCCTCCATTTCTGGGAGAAACGCTAGCCTCCTGCTCTCTCCAGCTCCAGGGCTGCCGCCATTTTTGTTGGGATTTATTTACCTTCTATAATTGAAACTTTGTAGCATTGAGTGGAAGCCTATGCCAGCAAGGGCAGGTGGAAAGCTTGGCTTCCTCCCACCTGCTCTCTGTGGCTGCAGTCATTTTTGGTTAGATTTTTTTTTTTTTTTGCATATTCGCTCCTGATTGGCTTGTAGGTGTGGCTTGTGGGTGTAGTGGAGGTGCAGTGAATTTGCATAATACTCTTATTGTATAGAAATTGTGGCCTGGTGCATAAAATTCATGCACAGAGGGTGTGTCCCTCAGCCTGGCCTGCACCGTCTCCAATCTGGGAACCCTTAGGGGATGTAGGTTTAGGCCTGATCCCATAGGCCCCATAGAGATCTGGCCTGAACTGGCAGTCAGACATCCCTCTCTCGATTTGGGACCACTGGCTCCTAACCACTCACCTGCCTGCTTGCCTGATTGCCCCTAACCACTGCTCGCCGCCCAACAGCCTTCATGCCCCCCAACTGCCCTCCTTTGCCAGCCTGATCGCTCCCAACTGCCCCCCTCCCACTGCCGTCCTGCTCATCCCCAACTGCCCTCCCCTAATTGCTTGATTGCCCCTAACTGCTTCTGCCTCAGCCCCACCACCATGGCTTTGTCTGAAAGGTCTCCCTGTCTAATTAGCTTATTACCCTTTTATTAATATAGATCCATGGTCAGCAAACTGCGGGTTGCAAGCCACATGTGGCTCTTTGGTTCCTTGACTGTGGCTCTTCCACAAAATAACACTGCCTAGGCGAGTCTATTTTGAAGAACTGGCATTAGAAGAAGCTTAAGTTTAAAAAATTTGATTCTCAAAAGAAATTTCAATAGTTATACTGTTGATATTTGACACTTGACTAATGAGTTTGCCACTGACTAATATAGATTATCTGTTCACCAGGATGTTTCTTTATTCCATTGTTTTTGTTAATATATTTTAAACAAATTTCTGGCATATCATTTCTTTTAGTATGTATCTGAGAAGAGCTTTTTGTTTGTTTTTCTTTTGTTTTTAGTTTTCTGAGAAGAGCTTTTTAAAAATATTATAATACTAGTACCACACCTCAAGAATTGAATAACTCATGTATCATTGACTACTCCATGTTTCATATTCCCTAGTTGTCCCAAAAATGTTGTTTTAATTTTGAATTCTTTAAATTTAGGGTGTATTCATTGCATTTGTTTGATGTCTCTTAAATCTTCCCATCAACCCTCCTGGGTTTTTTTTTCTTTGTCATTTATTTGTTGAAGAAACTGGGTCCTTTGACTTGTAAAATTTCACATCTTGGTTTTGACAACTAAATCTTCATGCAGTATTTAATGTGTTCACCCATCATATTTTCTATAAACTGATAGGTAAGTCTAGAGGTTTGATTATACAGGTGTACACCCCCAAAAATGTAATACACTTTAACAGTTGATAGCTGAATTTTGAAAATGAAATGTATTTTCATAAACATTGTCTTTATAATTATTCAAAGTGTGTATATACATTTTTTGGGGGTGGACCCTATATATTATTTTGTTTGTTTGATAATACTCTATGGATGCTGTTGTATTACATCAGGAGGCATATAATGTCCAGTTGTCCTACTCTTAGTGATGATAAAGGTGATCTTAAGTGTTCAGATAAAACCTATACCTTTTACCTGTTGGTTTTATCAGCCATTGATGATTGTTACATAGATCCATCATTTCCTTAGGACTAGAAAATGCTGGGTTTTATATTTATGTATATAACATTTTCTAGAAAATATAACCTATCTTCATCAATTTGGTTATTCTGAAATATAGTTTACACCCCCTAAAAATAAATAGGATACAGGCAGTATTATTTCCAATTATTACTAATTTTTGAAAAATAATGAAGTCGTGGACTAGCAGTTCTCAAAGATGACCAATAAGATTGTTTTTGGATTACTGTTTTGCATTTAGGGATTTTAACATTTTATACGTTTCGATCCATTGCAGTCAGTATTTCTTTTAAATAAATCTCTATTGTTCAAATTATTACAATTGTACCTGTTTTTCCCTCCATAGCTTCCCTCCAACCGGTTTCCACCCTACCCTCTGCCCTTACCACCTCCTCCCCACTGTCCTCATCCATAGGAGCACGATTTTTATCCATTCTCTTCTCGCATATCCCTTTACCCCCGAGAATTGTCAGTCCACTCCTTTCTATGCCCCTGATTCTTTTATATTCACCAGTTTATTATGTTCTTCAGATTTTTTATTCACTTGATTTTTAGATTCATTTGTTGATAGATATGTATTTGTTCTTCATAATTTTTTTCTTTACCTTTTTCTTCTCCTTCCTCTTCTTAAAGAATACCTTTCAGTGTTTCATATAATACTGGTTTGGCAGGGATGAACTCCTTTAGCTTTTTCTTATCTGTGCAGCTCTTTTCTGACCTTCAATTCTGAATGATTTTTGGTGGGAAATCTTCCTTGAAGGTTCTTGCTATTCATTACTTTGAATATTTCTTGCCACTTCTGTCTGGCTTGCATAGTTTCTGTTGAGAAATCAGCTGGAAATCATATGAGTGTTCTCTTGTACATAACTATTTTTCTCTTGCTACTTATAAGATTCTCTCTTTGTCTTTTGTCCTTGGCATTTTAATTATGATGTGTCTTGGTGTGGTCCTCTTTGGATTCCTTTAGTTTGGGGTTCTGTGCACTTCCTAGACTTGTAAGTCTATTTCTTTCACCAGGTAGGGGAAGTTTTCTATAATTTTTTCTTCAAATAGGTTTTCAGTATCTTGCTCTCTCTCTTCTTCTAGGACCCTCATAATTCTGATGTTGGTATGCTTGAAGTTGTCCCAGAGTCTCCTTACACTATCTTCATATTTTTGGATTCTTTTTGCTTTTCCGATTGGGTGTTTACTTCTTTGTATTCCAAATATTTGACTTGATTCTTGTGATCCTCTCATCTGCTGTTGGATCTCTGTATGTTATTTTTTGTTTCAGACAGTGTATGCTTAATTTCTATTTGGTCCTTTTTCATATCCTTGAGGGTCTTGCTAAATTTCTCAGAGGTTTCTAGTAGTTCTTGAATAACCTTATAATGGTGGTTTTGAACCCTATATTTAGTAGTTTGCTTTCCTCCATGTCTTTCATTTGTGACCTGTTTTTTGTCTCCGAGTTTTGGCTGATTCCCTGAGTTGATAGAATGGCTTTGTGTGCTAAGTGTCCTATAGGGCCCAGTGGCTCAGCCTCCCCAATTATCTGAGGTGGACACTCTTTGTGCACCTCTTTGTGGGCTGAGTGCATAGTTTTGCTGTAGTTAAGCCTTGACTGTTGTTGGTATCACTGGGAGGAGAATTGAATTCCAGGCCAATTGGCTGTGAGAATCAGCTGTGTCTATGCTGAAAGAACTTCTGTGCTGGAGACACCCTTGTGAGACAAGACTTGCAAAAACCTCTGTGCTCAGCTTGGATGGTACAGCATCTCAGGGAGGAGCAGACAGTGATGGCTTCCCATCAGTCCTACCCTAAGAGGCCCCAGAGTCTCATTTTCCTGTGGTAATCTGAGAGAAAGCTGCCCTCGAGTTTTGCCTGCTGCCAGACAGTTCAGTTTCTTCCCAAACGAGTGTGGGTCCCCAGAGTCTCGCCCGGAACTAGAGTTCAGAGTAGTTGGGAGCTTTTGTCTCCCAATTTAGAAAGCCAGCCACAAACTCAGTTGCCAGCCCTCTCTACACATACACCTCGGTACCTCTGCCTTCCGCAGTTCCTGTGAGTCTCAGTATGCTTTTCTCTTTCCTGAAAGTCCAGTTTCTCCCCTTATGAGTCTGGGTCCCCAGTGTCTTTCCTGGAACTGGAGTTCATATCCTTTGGGAGCTGTTGTCTCCCTCACAGTTGAGAAAGCAAGCCGCGTACTCAGTTGCCAGCCCTCTCCACACACACGTGCCTCAGTACCTCTGCCTTCTGCAGCTCCACTGAGTCTCAGTGTGCTTTTCTCTTTCCTTCTGGTTGTAGAATTTCCACTCAGGCAGCCTTCCTATTCTTCTGAATGTGTCTGTTTTGTCGTTTAGTTGTAGTTTTGAGATTGTTGTGTGAGGCATCAGTTTAGGTGTTTATGCCGCCATCTTTGTTTCTCCCACAGTCATTATTTAATGCTCAGGTTGTTCCATCTTTGGCCAGTCAGGTCAATTCATATGCTTTTTGTTATATAATCCTAGTGGTCTTTTTTTAAAAAAATTTTTTATTTTAATATATGTTATTGATTTTTTACAGAGAGAAAGGGAGAGGGATCGAGAGTTAGAAACATCGATGAGAGAAAATCATCAATCAGCTGCCTCTTGCACACCTCCCACTAGAGATGTGCCCGCAACCAGTGTACATGCCCTTGACCGGAATCGAACCTAGGACCTTTCAGTCCGCAGTCCGACGCTCTATCCACTGAGCCAAACCGGTTTCAGCCCTAGTGGTCTTTTTTAGTTGTCTTACTTTTGGTATGTCAAAATGATTCATGTGTTTTGAATATTTTTGTATCTGTAGCTACAATTAGTCTTCTCTCCTGGGAGTACTGTCTTCTTTTCAAGTAGAATATGGTATTTAGAGTCCAGAGAACTAGTTGTGCATTGAGTTCTTTTCAGTGAACAGCTAGGAACTATGTATTATTTAGAAAAAGAAAATTCTGAGTTCAAATTTATATTTCAGGTCTAGTTTAAGATTCTGGGGTTTTTCTTTAGTATTTCTTTTTAACCTATGCTGAAAATCCTGATTTCTAACAATGTTAACATAACTATGGCTTTATCCTGAAGCATACACATAATTATTTCAGAATAACAATGCTACCAATGTCACTGACAGTAAAAATATTGAAATAATTTTAATAGTGCTTTGCATTCTATTTTTGTCCGTGGTATATCTTACTAGAAACATGCTGTATATCAAAACACTGTGTTTAAGGTCATTTAAAAATATTCTCTGTGTGATTATACTACCAACTTGATATATGGGAAGACTCATTCTGTGGAGTTTGATTCATGTTTGTTTTTTAATTTAATCTTTTTTCATAATTACATAAGAATATTACATTTCTCCAAGGTTAAATTATAATTCATTGTACATTTGAAGTATTTTAGAATCCATCGTTAATCTCCCAAGCCTCCTTTCTCTCTTCTGTAATTATCCATTTTATTATTAATTTTTGGTTTATCCTTTCACTTATCCTTTTTAAAAGTATAAGCAAATATATATGCTTTCCTACACACACTTATAAAAAGTGGCATATTAAACATACCATTCTGTACCTTTTTCCATGTAATAAGTCCTGGAAGTCATGCTATAGCAGTATGGATATTTTGTAAAAGCTTCATAGCCTTCTCTGTATTGATGTACTATAGTTTATTCACCCATCCCCTTATTGATAGACATTTGGGTTGTTTGCAATCTTCTGATATTTTCTGTAGTACTGCAATTAATATCTCTAAGCATACATTCAATGATTTCTTTGCTAGGTATTTTGACCAACGTGACTTAGCTGATGAGCCATCTTGATGTTGCTGATCTCTCAGGGGTAGAAGATACTTGTGATGAAGGCAGACTGTCTGAGGAAATACCATGCCAATGAAGGGCAGATTGCATCACATTTTCAATATTATATAAGAGGTCTTCATCTAAATCTGTGCAACTGAAGATGATATGTAGGATGAAGAGTGTATGGATTTGAGCATCTGAAGTATCTTTGGATAATCCCACTAATTTCTAATGAACAGTTTTCTATGATATTACCATGTGTAAAACTGTATGGTGAAATTTTACAAATGTCCTTGATACTCCTTTATTATTTACAGATGTAAACATAACATTTTATTGAAAATATATTTTGGTTACTAAAATTTTGTTTGATTCTTGTAAAAAACAAAACAATGGAGAAAGGGTCTTAGAATTAAAAGTCTAGGTTAAATGGCAAATGTGTTCTTACCAGCAAAATTAATAAGACATTTTCCATTTAACCTCAATGTTATTTAAATGATTTATTGTACAAAACTTTAAAAAAAACATAATTTTATTGATTTCAGAGAGGAAGGGAGAGGGAGATAGAAACATGAATAATGAGAGAGAATTATTGATCAGCTGTCTCCTGCAAGCCGCATACGGGCCTGTGCCCTGATGGAAATTGCACTGTGACTGTGATTCACAGGTTGAAGCTCAACCCACGCCGTGCTTTTCTGTTAACAAATTATTTTTAATAGAACCCTAATAGGTTGACTGCTTTAATTTTTCTGTCAAATCTTAATGTTCATATGTAATTTATCAGGTAGATATGTTTCCTACTTTAAGTAACTAAACATCCTGGTAGCAGTGTTCCTCAAATAGGGATTTATTTTTTTCACATAATGAGACGTATAGAGGTACTGACTATTGGCATTGGTTCAGTGACTCCTTGATACCAAGTCTCTGATTTTTTTGGCCTTTCCCTCATGGTAACAAAATGGCCACTGCAGCCCAAGGCTATGTCTTTATTATCAAAACCCAAGGCTATGTCTCTATTATCAAAACCAGGAAAGGGGAAGCAGCGCCTTACACATCTAATTCTTACTCATACCGGCAAAACCTTCTCCAGAAACCCAGATTTGTGCTCATCTGTTGGCCACAAGTGTATAAGATGATCACCTCTAGTGGCAAGAAAGGTCAAGAAATGAAATGGTAAGCCTTTCCGGATTTTCTAATAAAGGTAGGAAAGGAAAAGGGGGGATTAGGAATAACCGTGGATTAGGGAACCAACAGTTTTGCCAATAGTTACAAATAAAGCAGACATATTTACATTTTAATCTTTTCTGTTGTCTTCAGAAAGTTGATTTTCAAATGTCAACTTAATAGTCTTGTTTTAACATTCTCAAACTGTTGGATATCTAATTTGTTTTCAGTGTTAATCCAATATAGAAAATGCTACTGTGAATATCCTCTTGTACATAACTTTGCTTTCTTTAGTCAGAGTTCCCAAGAGTAAGGTTGAAATTCATGAGTCTTATCAATTAATGTTGCATTTGAAAACTTTACTTAATTGTGGTTTTAAAAATTAGGATTTTTTGTTTCTCATCGGGTAATTCTGGTATAGGAAGTTCAGGGCTAGTACAGCAACTTTACCAGTATGGTATCTTAAATGTCCTGGGCTGCTTTTATCCAGATCTTGCTTTTATCAATTTTAGTATGTAGCTTTCTTTTTTTCAGTCATGGTATGGTTGCTTTGTCTCTTGTCTCATATTGGTATTCCAGGAAGAATAAAAAGGTACCATCCCTTCTTGCTGTTTATGTCAAAGGAGCAAGGCATTATAAGAAATCCTCAACTTACCTATCGCTTGCTAGAGTTATGATATTTTATGATTATAAAGAAAGATGGAAATAGAAATTTTTTTTAGCAGAGCACACATTGCCATTCCTATAAAAGATGGAGTTCTGTTAGAAAAGAGGGGACAGTGGCTACTGGCTTAGGCAGTCAGCACTGTCTGCTATAAAGAGCGTAGTTTTCCAATCTCTACACAACCAGCTATAATAGCTTCATATTTTTTTGTCGTTTTGATGCTGGGGGGAGGGAGTGCCTAGGGGGTGATTTTATTTAATCTGTTAATTATTGTTTTAATTTACATCTCTTTCATAACTAGTGGCTGAACACACAGTCATGCACACTACTCACACAGAATGAAATTCCCAAGGACAGGATAGCATACAAAAGAAGGCAATTTTGCATGTACTAAAGACAAGTGGTGTAAAAATTTATTTTAATATAGTTACATCTATATTTTCTAGCAAGCTGGAGGATTCCCAAATAGGTAAATGAGAACCATTTTTATAATGACTCAATTTGGCGTAAGGATTTTTTTTTTTTTCTCAGGACTGTAAGATAAAAATAATGGGTATTTTAAGCCTTTAATCACAATTAAAAGAATATTCCAATTTTAATGAAAAATTGAAGAAAGCTCCTCCACTCTTTTATATATATACATATATATATATATATATATATATATATATATATATATATATATTTTTTTTTTTTTTTTAATTTTATTTTATTGATTTTTTACAGAGAGGAAGGGAGAGAGCGAGCCAGAAACATTGATGAGAGAGAAACATTCACCAGCCGCCTCCTGCACACCCCCCACTGGGGATGTGCCTGCAACCAACGTACATGCCCTTGACCGGAATCGAACCCGGAACCTTTCAGTCCGCAGACCGATGCTCTACCACTGAGCCAAACCGGTTTTGGTGAAAGCTCCTCCACTCTTAACATAGGAATAAAACCTCAAGTTTGTTGAGAAGTTGTACATTTTAAAGATATAATTTAGAAGTAGTTATTTTTGTTTATTTTGGTCAGAAGAATATTATACATTTACTAAATTGGGATGGTACTTTTTAAAATTTTATTCGTTTCTATTTAAAATAAGATTATTTCATCTGTGTCTCTTAGAATAAACCAATTAGAAGGTGACTTATAATAAAATTGATTCAAATTATTAACTCTACTCTCTTGGACAGAAAGAAAAATGTTTTATAGACCCTAGCCAGGTAGCTGAGTTGGTTAGAGCGTCATCCTGATATGCCAATGTTGTACCTTCAATCCCCGGTAGGGGGACATACAAGAATCAACCAATTGCCCTAACCAGTTTGGCTCAGTGGATAGAGTGTTGGCCTGCGGACTGAAGGATTCCAGTCAAGGATATGTACCTTCATTGCAGGCACATCCCCAGTAGGGAGTCTGCAGGAGGCAGCTGTTTCTCTCTCATCGATGTTTTTAATTCTCTATCCTTTTCCCTTCGTCTCTGTAAAAAAAAAATCAATAAAATATACTTTAAAAAAAAAAAAGTATCAACCAATGAATGCATAAATGAGTGGAACAACAGATCAATCTTTCTGTCTCTCTCTACATAATAATTTTTTAAAAATTAAAACAAATTTTTAAAAATTAGAGATGTCAATTTGAACTGTTTGTATTACAATTATTACCTATTGTGATACAAACATATTACACATATTACCAGTTCCCAACTTGCCCTAGAATGTTGTTTTATTTGGGTTGGTTGTATTTCTGGAAAAAATGGTTCTGGGATCAAATACTAGGTTAAATAAAGTTTTGTGTTTTTTTCCTGAACCTGTAAACATACCATTAATATGTATTAAAAAATCTATAAAAGATGATGGTTTCCAAAATTATATGTGGCTAATATGCTAATGACATTATGTAGCAATGCCCAGCTTCCTCTCCCTAGCAACAACTAGCCTCCTTGCAAGTTCTTCAGCCCAGAAACATAACTTGCTTTATAGCCAGGTGGAAACACTTTACACCGTAACCAAATGTCTGTGAAGCGTTTTCCCATGTCTCATCTCATTTGATCCTCACAGAAGTTCTAAACTAGGTTGATAGGAGATTTGGTGCAATCCTATTCTCTTTTAATTAGCCAGAAAATGGAGATTTAGGAAGTTTAGAAATTTGACCTGACTGAAAAGAAGAAATGGTGTACCTTGAAAATGACTTCAGGCTTTCTCACTGCACAGAATATAGTCAAAGACTGCTACAGTTAAATATTTTACTCTTTGTTCTCCCTGCGTGATCTACAATCTGCTTCATGTTGATATTTACTGCTATGTTGATGTCAATTATTTGAAAGAGAAGTTGGAATGCTTCACTGGGCTGGAAAAAGTTTAGCTAAGTCAGAAAGCAGAACTAAGCAGGTTTGTTTTATATAAAAGGCTAAGTTGACTCATGCATACACAACACATATAAAACTCTCTGGCACCAATTGCACACTTGTTTCAGTCTGTCATTGTCAATCATGAATTTGGTTGACACTTGTATTATAGAGAAAGGGTGAATATATTAAAATATTTCTTCTGCCGAAACCTGTTTGGCTCAGTGGATAGAGTGTTGGCCTGTGGGCTGAAAGGTCCCAGGTTCGATTCCAGTCAATGGCATATACCTTGGTTGCAGGCACATCCCCAGTAGGGGGTGTGCAAGAGGCAGCTGATCAATGTTTCTCTCTCATTGATGTTTCTCTCTATCCCTCACTCTTCCTCTCGTGTAAAAAATCAATAAAATATATATATATTTTAAATGTAGGTTCTATTTAGTGTCTTAATTAACTTTTATGACCCCAAAGTTTGTGCTAATCCCAGTCTGATGCCTGAGCTGAACTCCCATTCTATAGCAGTAACTTAGATTTGTAAACAATTCACCAGGTAAACCTGGCTGTCCGTTTCTGCTTTCCCTTACTCATGACATATCAGGCTCTACTATGGAGTGAATATTTGTGTCCCCCAAAATACACACGTTCAAATCCTAACCCAAAGGTAACAGTATAAGACAGGGCCTTTGGGAAGTGATTATTAGACCATCAGAGCAAAGCTTTCTTGAATGTAGTCAGTGCCCTTATAAATATGAATCCAAAGAGTAATAAGCTAGTCCCCTTCACACCAAGTGAGGACACAGTTAAAAGATACCCTGTGAACTAGGAAGCAGACCCTCATCATACTCTTGAATAAATAAGGAAATAAAAGAT